GTGGAGCGACATGGGCGCGGGCGGAGGTCTCGCGGGCGGCGGTGTCACGGCGGCGGAGTAACGACAGGCGGCGGTGGGCGAGGGGCGGAGGAGGCAGGCAGCGGCGGTCGGGCCTCCGCATCTACTCCAAGCCTCCACCGCCAGATCCACGGGTGCAGGGCAACGGCGTCAGGCGGTGGCAGCAGGCAGGGCGACGGCGGTGGGTGCTGCTGGTACTCTCCGCCCAGATCTGGTATGCCTATCCCCTTCCACCCTCACTCCATGGCTACACCCCTCTCTCTCCACCCTCCGTTGCAAATAAAAAATCAAAAACGGGCGTGGCGTACTCCCCTTCGCCGGCCGGCGATGACGACGATGGAGTGGAGGTCGCGGCGGAGGGGACGTCGCGGAATTCCAGATGGGGGCGGGAGCTCGGTCGTTATGATTTGGCGTGAGGAGAGAGACACGCTATTTTTGGGTTTTCTCTCTCCCTTTTTGGCACATCTGCCACTTTTGGCGGATTGGATGGCGCATCTCCTGGAGACGGTTTTTGCACTCCTATACGCCAAATCACGGATGGAGGATGTAGTAGCGTATCTCCTGGGGATGCTCTAACCTCGTTTGAGACGTTCTGAACCGCAGCCAGGCCTTGTGGACGGGATTGCCCTTGTCCTTGTCTATTCGATAGCCAAGCTCCTGCAATTAATCCGCAGCACGCCTGCTCGCCTCGTCTCCCATGTAAAATCAAGCGACCAGACAAAAAAAGGTGCCCCGCCAGGATTCAAACCTGGGTCCCGAGGACTCCAGCCTTGCCGCACTAGCCGCTTGAGTTAAGTTTGTTTCTTGTATAGAACGCTACGCACAACTCTATTTAATAGGGGCAGACATGGAAAAATACCCCCTAATTAATCACCCCTTGGTATGCTAAATGCTATCCTAAACATCATTTTTCACCTTTTTATTCGAATTAACTGTCCTCGGTATAAACACACTAGCCATTAGCAAAAGCCTTCAAGTACCACTGCACCTCAACTTGCTACTCTGCCCTCAATAGGTAGGAAATCCGGTTATATATATATATATGGTGAAAATCAAGCTGCCACACAAATCAGAATTGTTGCATCTAACAGGGAATTTTCTACAAGGGAAAATAGTTGGATGATTTTGTTTACAACTTCAATCTGAGATTTGGATATTCTTTTTACTGGCAAAATCACATGGCCACAACAGTTACTTTTTCGGGAGTACAATATGCGACGTGAGACCGGTCCGACATAACGAACTGTACATGTTCATATATATGGTTCAAAAGTACCTCGCATATTTCCTCGTGAGCTATGTGCAAGGACATTAGTTAAGCCTATAGGGCCAATCCTTTTTTTTAACGACAGTGCGAAGTTCATATTGATCACTGGTGGAGAAATCGTTTTTAGTCCCGGTTCGTAACCCCCTATAGTCCAAACCGGGACTACGAATCAGGGACTAAAGATAGGGATCTTTAGTCCCGGTTCAAATACCCGGGACTGAAGATCGATCTTTAGTCCCGGTTGGTGTTACCGACCAGGACTAAAGATGGGAGTGGGCAATAGTTTTTTTTTTTCATTTACTTACTATTTAATCTCTAATTTATTTTCTCCCAAATTAGGTGGGATGCGTATTCCTAAATCAAACCCTAAAATCAAAGTACCATTCCAAATACACAAATCAATGATCATATACACTGCAGATTATACATCCCAAATCAAACCCCTAATCAAAGAAACATCCCAAATACACAAATCATACACCAATCATGTACATCTCAGATCCATACAATGAGATTCCAAAAAAAATATATACATCTCAATTCATACAATGAACCACATATTCTTCTTCTCAATCTATACATGGATCACAATCTATACATGGATCACAAATTTTTTGAAAAAAAAAAGAAAAAAAACGAAGCAAAGCTGCCGGCCGGCTGAGCCGGCTGCCGCCTCCCCTCCTCCCCGGCCGCCGCCGCGCCGCCGCCGCGCTGCCCTCCGCCGGCCGGGCCGCCCACCCCCTCCTGCTGCGCACACCGGATCGAGTTGGGAAGGGATAAGAAGGAAAAGAGATAAAGAGGAAGGGAAGAGATAAGATTAGAGATGGAGGGAGAGAGGAGTTGGTGTGGATGAGAAAAGAGTGGATGAGAAAAGATGATAAGTAATAGGGATTATATAGTGCGTTTTGATCTTTAATCCCGGTTTGTAATACCAGCCGGGACTAAAGATCCTGGAGGGGCCTGACAACACCTAACAGCATGTGAACCGGGACTAAAGATCACGTAGTCCTGTTCTACTTATAAACCGGGACTTAAAACCATATTTAGTCCCGATTTTTACTGCGTCCGAGACTATTGTGGTTTTTGGTCGACTGGGTAAAGATGGTTTCTCTACTAGTGGATAGAGCAGAAAAAAAATACAAGATTACAACCCTGGAAGGCTGTAACCAGGAAAAGAAAAAAGTATACCGCCTACCACACACTGACAGCGCCAAACACAAACCCAGGAGAAAGCCAGCACCAGATCGGCCGCCGCTAAGCGTGACCGACCGCCGCAAGGCCAATAAATAAGCTACAAAAGGGATCGTCCAGAACCCAAGCCTTACAACCGACACAAAACCCCGCTCTATCCACATCGCAGGGATTCAGGGAGAGAGGGTGAGAGAGGAGAATGGAACCGCTCTCCCCCTTAGGCCCTCCGATGTGGCCAACTTGTACAAACTAGGACGCCGATACAAGCGGAAGAGACTCTAGAACGAGCTTGCAACAGTTGTTTCGGTGGTTTCGGCAAGGGCGTTGCCTAGACGACGTCTCCAGGGAGAGAAATGACGAAAGTACAGCCGCCGCCGACCATCGAGGTTAGAAGAACCTTGACTGGGTTTTTGCCGTTGCCGGCCTGCCCGAGGTGGGGCTGGGTTTTCACCCGCCATCTGCCGCCTGCCTATCCACCGTTGACGCCCCGAGGCTCCACCGTCTTCAAAGCCTCTGCTGGTGTGCGGGCATCACTGCACCGGCGCCCCCCACCGGCCAGTCGCCGCATGCCGCCATCAGCAGCACCCGCTGCCATCAGTCTGTCGGGACGCACCGGCCTCCCTCTCCCCGCCGCCGGGCGTGCTGGCCTCTCGCGGGACACGACGTCCTCCTGGCCATCTCCCACGACGTCCTCCTCCTCCGCCGGCCGCTCCCGCGCCTACTCCCGCGCGGCTGCCACGCCAGGCACCACAGGCATAGCTCCCACGCCTGCCACTGCAGCACGCATCCTCCTGGCGTGGCTGTCAGTCGCCCATGGTCCACGGTAGCCGGTCGCCGTCCGACCCATCGCCCGTGCATGCCGAAGCCATGGACGCCACCTCCACCTGCTGTCGGCGCCGGCCGTGCAAGCCTCTTGGCCTTGGCATGCCGGCCTCCCTCAGCCGCGCCGAACGACGATGCATCTGGCCCGTCACCCACCGCTGCTCGCGCCGTCTCTCGCTGCCGCCTCCCGTCGCCCCCGTCACGCCGGCTGTGTGCCCCCGGCTGAATCCATCGAGGCAGCGCCAGATCCGGTCGCGGCGGCACCGGATTTGCAGCCCCAAGCCGGGGACTCGCTGGCGCCGCCGTCGTCTTCGCGGAGCTCCTCCTCGCCTCTCTCGCGCAAGAGGCGGAGCGTCGATGGGGCTTAGCCCCGTCGCCACCATCCTGGCTCGCCGCCCGGCTTTCCGGGCGACGTGCTCCGGCGGTGGAGAGGCAAAGGAGAGGGAGAAGAGGGGCGGCGGTGGGCGGCTAGGGTTTCGCCCCGAGCCGCTCGCGCGAGGACGACGCAGAGCTTTTACATATTGGGCCAATCTTGTTTACTAACTACTAGTTTGAGAGCGTATCTCATATGGACCATTAGCAATGAGAGTTTTGTATTTAAATATCTTGATGATAACTCTATGATACTATCACTAAACCTTAAAAAGGTTGTTATAATACCGATCACAAAACCTTGGTGATAGCTCGAAGATATCATTATTTACATGTAGGTATTAGATCCAATACCTAACCTACATGCTATATTACCTATGAATAATGATCTAATACCAAGTGCGATATTTATAATACCTCTTTTTTTTAACACATGATGCTGTTGACTTTTTGACAAGCGTTTAATCATTCGTCTTATTCAATTTTTGTGCACAACTATAAAAAGAATTAAGACACACACTTAAAGAACATTTAACAATGAATTGAGTCACAATAAAATAAATAAAATTACTTTTTTTTTAACTAAGTTGAATAGTCAAACATATCTTAAAAAATCAATATCGTCACTCATTAAAAATCAGAGGGAGTATGTACTAAATATAATATCTACGTACATGGTATATATAGGTATTAGGTCTGAAACATACTTACTCTTATGCATGTGGATACTAGATGTAACAATATTAGATACCATGTCATATATGATGATACTAACCAGGAAACATGCATGATACGTGTAAGTATTAGATATGATACCATGTCGTGTCTTTTCTTGCTGATCCATTTTGGGGCTGGGAGGCAACATTTGAAATTTCGCTTTAAAATTATTGAAGTGTATGTCCGGCCAAAAGTTTCCAATTTTTTCATTTCAATGTAGCGAAAATGGTTTACATTGAGGAAATGTGCACTAACCAATGACTCCATCAAACATAAAGAGATTTGATAATTTAACACTCCTTAAAATGGGCTTCTATTATTTTACATCTTGGCCACTTTCATTTACTCAGGAAGGTCCCACATGTCATCCTCACAAGTGTTGGTTAAAGCAATTGGGAAAAAAGTGTTAGATTATCAAATTTCTCCTCAACTATGACTAGGGTTTAATCTTTTGGTTTGGATTCTATCGGAGGGTGCCAATATACCAAAATTTCCAAAAATTGGGTCTGAAATTTCTGAAAATTTTGAACAAATTTAGTCAAATTTGAACAAAATATTGCCAAATTCAAAAAAATTGAAAAAAAATTCAGCCGAAAAAAATATCATATTGGGGGGGTTAAAAATTTCAGAAATTTCATTCCGGAATTTTTGAACACGGACTATGACTCATCCCATTTGAAGCAATTAATTTTCCCTGCGTAATCCTACAGGCAGTTCGCCACAGTCATGCCGACGACGCTGATCCTGAACATGGAGCTCCACGCGTAGTAGAAGGTGACGCTCCCGTTGGCACGGATCGCCCCGCCGTCGCCGACGAGGTAGCTCTCCCGATCGCCGCCGGGGTTCCGCCGGAACAGCTTGGGGTCGACGGGGATGGCGCTCCGGAACCCCGGCGCCGCCGCGACGACGTGCCCCACGTCGCAGCAGCACTGGTTGGCCACCGTCACCTTGAACAGCGTGCCCGCGCCGCCGCCGCCGCCGCCGCCGCCGACCTTGCTCCGGTCGTCGGCGAGCTGGCTGACGACGACGTGGTCGTTCATGCAGCCCATGCAGAGGCAGTTGCCTGGTGATCCGTAAAAACATGCATGGTGCATCCGGAGGAAGAAGAAGAAGAACAGTAGTAATGTGAGGATTTAATTTCTTGATGATTATTACTAGCAGATAGTGATACTGTGAATTTTGTGATGAGAGGATGATTTTTTGGTTTTGATGATTGATTTACCTTTGGCGATCATGAGGCAGAGGAGGAGAGCAACGACGAGAGGCTTCGATTCTTGAGCCATGTTAATTTTTTTGCTTCGTTCTTGCAGTGTTTGTGTATGAATTATTTACTTGGGGTCGGGCTTATTTGTAGTGGTGGTCAAATTGTTGTGCGTGAATAATGTCAGACCAGCAAAATATGGAAAGCTGTAAATTTGCCTGTAACGGTCCCATTTGTTGGGGAAAATAATACTTCTTGGTTAACACTTTTCCTGTCCATTGACATTTTGTGCTTTTGTCAGTGTTTTATGATGGCTCCGAAAAGATAATACTTTCCATCCAAAACATAATTGTTGCTTATTTCGGCGGTTTTAGCTGACATAGTTGTTCATGATGAGTGGCAAAATTTTAATACACCTCAAATTAATCTGTGCATGGAAATCAACTCCTTCCAGAATTAGCTGTATGTAATCATGCATATATTCACGCATCATTGGCATTTATTAATTAATTGGGTAATATTTTTTTGCGTGAAAGAGAGAATGTATTATTGATAAAACTGATGAGGATTACACAATATGAGCTGAGCAGTTCATAGGCAGTAAGAGTCCAGGCGCAAAATCGCAGCCTCAACAACTCTCTTTGCTAAAAACACAATTTCGTGAGCTACTTTATTAATACTCTCTTTACCAAACTAAGTAGTACCTGAACGAAAAACAAGGCTAAGAATTTCAAGAATTATCTCTCAGAAGAAAGGGAGTACAGAATGACGTGTGCCGGTCTTGGTGGCGGTGGTTATATATATAAAGATAAAGGACGAAAACTGACTTCGCGCACAATTTTAGCCGTGACAATGAATGCCAATAGGCGATTGCATCTACTGAAGCACAGCACGGTAGGTATTTGATTATTGCCTCATGAAAACGTGAGGGGAGATGCGTGTCCTTTTTGTTATTGTGAGATGAATGGATGGATGTGTTAAAACTTTTGATCCCTCTATGTAAGGTTCCTCGTTGTTCACAGATTTAATTGTTAATTTCTCCTCTGGATTTCTCAAGTTTATTTTTTTTTAATTTTTTGCTATTAGCCCTAAAAAATTATTTATGTTGCATATAGGTTATAGTAGTATGGACATAGGGATTAATAAAGGATGGGAGACCATCCGATTCATCCGTTCAGTATAATGAATCCTAAACTGCTAATGTGTGATTTCTCTCTACTGTGGGCCCACATGAATTCCTCGAGTAGCACAAACCTATGCTAGCTAGACCTAGATGGGCCACTCGTCCGAGTTAGATACTCGATTTTCTCTAGGCCTGTTTATTTGGGCCTATTATAACGTAGGAAATGAAGGGATGTTTGGGTTTGAAGCCCTACCAAAATTTTGGTAATGTCAAATCTTGAATAAATTTAAATTTTGGCACTACCAAAATTTTGGTAGGGTTGTGTTTTTTCTAAATCTATTGAATTGGTAAGACTTGGCCTCAATCCAAATAGCTAACAAGTAGTATTCAAAACTACCAAATAATTGGTAGGGTAAGAATTGGCTTCAATCCAAACATGCCCTAAACCAAGTCAATTAGGTTGGGCAATCAAAGGTGAGAATGACAGTTTTGTATTCCATAAAAACTGATATAGTAATATTTATCAGGAATCCTATTCGGCACATATGCACCTGCAGGCACATTGTATCGGCCCATTAAGTCTGAATGCTTGATAGTCTGGGAGGTGGAAAGACTAGTGAACAAAAGTTCCACATCATCTTCTCAGCTCGTCCACGTGTCTCTATCCGTTCATGTTCACAAACCACCCAACGAATGTGTCGGCGATCGAAAATTCATCCCCATCATATCCACTTCCCGCCTTCCATTCCCCATCTTATTGGCGTCGAAATTCCCCATTCCCATCTCAGCCTCTAGCCACCCTCCATCCCTCTATCACCTTTCTTCATGCTATGGGCTTAAACTCTAGTACTAGGGTCAACCATGTTGGCATTAGTGACTGCTCTAGCTACGAGACTCCACCGTATCTATCCCTGCCATTGCCACACACTGCATCTACCTTGTGTCGAGTGCCGACCTCCCCGAAGCCTGAGGAGAATTCAGTGAGGGGCATGAAGCACCCAACGATTGAGGCTAGGAGAAGAGGATTTTGGGTATTTAGATAAAAGTTTTAGATTTTCATTGAATTGGTTTTCAAACATTTCATATTTGAATTGAAAGTTTTTTTTATTTGCGATGAAAGTTTGATATCTTCAATTGAAAGTCTTATTTTCTTATTTGAGACGAAAATTTTGTTTTTTCATGTTGAAAGTTAGTTTGTGATTTTGATATAAGAGTTTTAGGATCAAATTGAAAGTTTTTGTGATTTGGGATGAAAGTTCTTGGCCTATGCAGGTTGTTCAATGACATACCCGTCACCACCCCCACATCCCGCCAGTCCAATTTAAGTGATGGTGTGGTGCCAAGCACATCGACGATTGGCAGGAAGGCATGCAGGCCATGCTGCGCAATCGAGGCGACGCCGGAGTCCACGAGATGCACTGGTTCATTAGCGTTGACGCCTGGCTGACCGCAAGTTCGCGTCTCTGCGATGAGCGATGGCGCTATGGCTAAGAGCGAGTCTAATAGTACAGCCCACTACTAGCTCCAATTCATCTATAGCCAATCAAATAGTCAATTCATACAATAGTTGTTTGCTATACTATTAATATATGGTCCCACCTGTCATACACACAGTGTGTCTTGGAGTCCATGCTGCAGCTGGCTACAGATTTGCAGCCTGCTTCTCTTCTCTCTCATCGTTTATCTCATTACAATATGTTTAGAGCTGGCTAATAGCCTGCTATTGTACCTGCTCTAAAACCAAAATTTTGCTAATAGAATTTTTTATTAAAATCAATTTTGTAACGACCTGAAAATCAATGCGTTACAAAAGCTATTAACATACCAAATGAAACAATGAGGAATGAAATCATTAGTTGGTTTCATGAAATTTAGTGCATTAATGATATGATATATATAGAGATCACTCACTCATCCTGGATGGCTTGATTGTGTGTGTCACACAGGCCATCAAATGATCCTCTTTTCATAAATTATTCAGTAGCTTTAATTAAATTCAGCTCAACACTTACATCATCCTTCATCAATCCATCAAACCATCACTACATCCATCCAATTAGAAACATCCATGAATTGACTGCAATCCTCCTACCGGCATCTAGAGACAGTCATGCTGACGACATCCATCCTGAACACGGTGCTCCACGCGTAGAAGAAGGTGACGCTTGACCCGTTGTTCGGGATCGCCTCGCCGTCGCCGACGAGGTAGTAGCCCTTCTCCTCCCCGCCGGCGATCCGCCGGAACAGCTTCGGCTCCACCGGGACGGCGCTCCGGAACCCCGGCGCCGCCACGACGACGCTGCTCACCTCGCAGCAGCACCGGTTCGTCACCGTCACCTCGAACGTGTACATCGTGTGCTCGTCGCCGCCGCCGCCGAGCTCGCCGTGATCGTTCTCCGCCAGCTGCTGGCCGACGACGACGAAGTCGTTCATGCAGCGCAAGCACACGCAGTTGCCTGGTAATCCGTATACAAAGACATGCATGCACGATGCATCCATTGTAAATTTGTGATGAGAGGAAGTAGAACGGTAATGTGAGGATTTGATTTCTTGATTGCTAGAAGAGATCGAGGGACATTGTGAATTTGTGATGAGAAGATAATTTATTTGTTTTGATGATTGATTACCTTTGGCGATCATGAGGCAGAGGAGGGCAAGGAGAGGCTTCGATTTCGATTCCATGGTTTTTGTTTGCAGTTGCAGTGTTTGTGGTTGGATTTCCAGGGGATTGGGCTTTATTTGTAGAGTGTAGTGATGATGGTGAAATTGTTGTCTCGGAATAATGTCAGAGACCAGGAAATTTGGAAAGCTGTACTCCTATTTCTAGGGAAAAAAAATAGTTCTTGGTAAAAACTTAACAGTTCAATGTTTGTGCTTTCCTACGGGTAAAATATATTTTTCACAAAGTGTGCTGCCCATTCTTGTGGTATGGAAATTTTTGCCTTATTTTTATTTTATCTGTGGCTATCCATTTAGCTTTGGTTGTTTTTTAATATTAAGAATTTCAAGCAGTGATTTGTAAAATTTACAATAAGAATGGTTCGGGTGACAGATTTACTATCACAACCATTTAAAAGTTGTACATATTCCATAATGTGAACTTCTATTTATATATGATGGTGCTTTAAAGAGAAATTTGATTAGCACCCATATGTAATTGTCACCTAGTTGGGCGGTTTTAGCTGGCAATTTTGGTGAAGATGGAGGTAAGACTTAATGCACATCTCTACTTAACCCGTATGAAGATCAATTCCTTCTATAACTAGAAAGATAGCCCGCGCACATGCGTGGGCACCTTATATAATGCAAGTGAAATTTGTGGGGGTGAATTTTTATTGAAATGTTTAGTGTATATGTACTAAACGAAAAATAAACTTATTTAGTATGCTTTGAATGCTGATTATTTTCTTATAATTACCCTTGCAACATATAAATTCTAAAGTAAAATTACTTGACATCGTGCAGTTTTGAATTTATAAAAAAATATTGTGTTGAAAGAATGGAGTTGGTTCCTATGAGAAAATTTATGATATTTTGACTTCCTAGAAGGATAGCTTATAACCCAAAAATAAATCCAATGATATCAATTTTTATTTGATTCAAATTTAATTATATTTATAGTTAAAAGGGTTTCTAGGGGTACCCTCCGATCTACAAATGCAACCGATTAAAACGAAAAAAAAGGATGGAATGGAGGAGTATACCTTTATCTTCGATTTCCAAAAAAAACCTATGAAAAAGACTTCAAATTGAGTGGATTTGATGAGTAGAGATGAGGGGGGAGAGAGAGAGAGGGGAGAAGGGCTTCTCTGCGTGCTCGGGCTCCTAAGTTGGCGAAAATGAGTGGGGGATGAGAAAGGAGGTGGGGCCCGCACGGGTTAAGGGCGCGGCCCACCCAGGGGGAGCGCGGCAGCCATGCTAGCACCGTGGTGTGTGGGACGGAGGCGCCAGCGTGGCGCCTCCCTTTGCCATGTCAGCCCACTCACGTGTGCCCTAGTGCCACGGTGACACGGTGACGGTGCCAGGGTGGCTGGCACTAGGGTGGAGGATGGTGCCAGCCTCTCTGGCGCAAAAAAAATAGGCCCATTCCTGTAATAAGTTTTTCGAGGAGTCTATTTGTAAAATAAGTTTTGAAAAGGATGAAAAGGTAAGAAATTTCAGTTTGTAGGATGTTTAAGTGATAGAGGGAGAACTGCTAGACCAAGTAGTAGGTGGAGGTCTATTTGTGGGCTTTTTTTTCATGTAAAAATAATTTTGATTATCATTTTATCATGAAGATAGATAAAACTGAAAGAAACGGGAGGGAAGTATGCATGTTCGTTCCTATGTGATGGCGAGGTTCTGGATGTATGTGTTCTTTTAAAAAAACGATTTAACCATCCAAAACAATGGATTCACCGATTTAAATGAAAATCGTTGTTCATATTTTTTTTTATTTATTAGAGTGTTCCTTGGTGACCTAGGAGCGTTTGTAGCGTGTCACTTTGTGGCTTAGGAACAATTTAAGGATGTTTAATGGATTAGTTTGTTTTCCAGAATCTCTAAGATTTTATAAGCATTTATAAAATGTTTAATGGATTTTAATGCCGCACGGGGTGGAAGGGAGGGAGAGAGGTTTGCGATTTTTTTATTAAAAAATCTAACAATCTAAAACAATGTATCCATCAATTTAAATAGAAATCGATAGCTGGTTGCTTTGTTTTTTATAAATATTTTTTAGTACGTTTTCTAATTTTATAGACCACGTAGCGACTTAGAATTATTGCGTTCATATGTAGATCGAGGGAGAGAGGGAGAGCTTCTAGACCTAGCTAGTTGGTAGAAGTCTATTTGTGGGATTTTTTTGCCTGTAAAAATGTTTTTATTTTAGTTTCTCGTGAAGAGAGAAAATAATATACTAAGGAACAGGAGGGAAGTACGTACCGTACATACGTTCATTAATTCGTATAACATGCCAAAACTTTTAATTTTGTTTTTTTACGTTTGTGCCGAATCTGTTTCTTTAATAAAATAGATCTAATGTTCTAAAACAATGGGTCCAACAAAATCGTTGGTAGGATTTCTCTGATTTATTATTTATTATAGTGCCGCTTGGCGACTCGAGAGTGTTTATAGGGTGCCACTTAGTGGCATGAGAACATTTTAGGAAATTTAATAGCGCATTCGCGCGGGTATGCATCTAGGATGTGTTTGAAAAATTTATAAGGGTGGAATATCAATTGAGCAACATTCACCAAGCTTTAGCAGTATGTTTTCTCCATAAATTTTCTTCATCAATATTGTTTAGATAATTTTTCTAAGCTCTACTTAAGATTTATATTATATAATATTCAATTCATCCATATAAACAATTGTCTATAATCTTCCTCATCATAAAAAAAAAGGATGTATACATTTTTTAGGGTAAAAAAAGAGGTATACTTAGTTTGTTTGGAGCATATGTCTAATAAATTAAGTGTAAATTAAAATAAGGTGTTTTTACCTTTTCTATAAAAAGACTGAAAAACTTTTATGAATAAATAAATGTATTTTTATTTAATCATAGTGTTTTATTTGTACTATCAAGCTCTGCCCTTAATTGATTTGCATTGACGCAATTTGTTACACAGAAATTAATAAAAAAAGGTGTACATATACATATCCTAAACATTTCTCCCCTTGTAGTTTTTTAAAAGAAAAACCTAGTTAATATTAGTCTTAAAATTTAAATTTAATTGTAAGAAATATAGTTTCATATAAGTACGCATTTGTTTAAATTTAAAATTTCGTGCATATATTTACGTACTTGTTTCCATATGAACAGCATCTTTTTAATATTTTTTAAGGTGCGTACGAGCGTTTTTTTCAAATGAACAGTTAAATGGGTTGTCCCTACCATAGATACGTACGTAAGTTTTTTCTGGTACAAACGGTTTCACACATATGCACGGGATATTAGGAGGATGCAAATAGATCTAATCTAATGGTCTAAATTATCGGGTCCACCGATTTAAGTGAAAATCGACGGTGAGATTAAGTATTGCCACGTGGCGGTCTAGGAGCGTTTGTAGGAGTGCCACGTGGCGGCTTAAGAGCGTTTGTAGGAAGTTTAATGGACTTTTAGTATATAATAACTAGAAAGGTAGCCCGCGCGATGCGCGGGCATATATAATATGTTGTGTTTCGGAAGCCTATATATATGACTGAAATATATACCAGATGATACCTGCCATGCTTCAAAAGTACTATTTCTTCACAACTTTTCTTCATTAGCATCGCTCAGTAATTGTTTGCAAACTATTTGGTAGCTTGAAATTATTTGCCCTACAAGAAATCATTTATGATCTTTCTTTTTTTTTCTAGGAAGAAGGTTGGAATCTTATTTATTTATTTATGAAAGGAATAATAAAATAAGTCAACTTACCATATCCATTGTAGAGTACTATATATTATCTTATAATAAAAAAACATTTATACCATCTCAAAAATACTAAATGATAAGGTAACTCCTAAATTTAAAAATAAAAATCACTTTTCTATTGTCACCTCTTCTTATGACGATTATATTGTTTTAGTGGATACTTATTATTATTATTATTGTTTTTGAAAGCTGAGAGTCTATTTAATAGATCAAACTACATCATACCATTACAATAAGATTAATACATTATTAGTTAACTATAAAAATCATCTACGTTATTTAGATGAGTATCCATGTACGTCTCGCTTATTTCCAAATCTGTGTCTAAATATTCTAAAAATACCTTTTCTATCAATTAATAGGATCAGATAACAACGTTAAATCGGATAAGCATATTCATGTATTGGGTGAAGCCGACCGCAGGCGCCGAGGCTTTCTTCCCTGCTGCCTTGAAATATGGGTTTCTCATAGCCATGCCCTTCTAGACCAGCGTAGAGCATAATTTTAATCCCTAATTAATTATAGGTGCCCTCATAGACAATTGCCTCCTGAAATAGGAAGTTGAGCTCTATTGGCAAAGGTATCCTCTCATTGGGACTATCTCAGCCCGCCATATGTACGCCCATGCTTTACTTCTGATTGTGTAGCATGCTCTACTGTCATGCATGGTGCCCTTAATGAAAATAATTTGTTTTTATGTTATAGAGTAGTTTTATGGTATAGAGTAGACATAGTTTGTTTATTGTGTTAATTAATATTACTCAAATTTTAATACTATAGATATAATATCCTTTTTCAAAAATAAGCGAGGTTGATCAATGGATATTACTGATAAATATATCTAAAGAGAGATACCACACTAATAATCTCCAAGATTAACCCCTGGTTTTGCCTTTAACACTTGTTGTTCCAGACAAATTTACTAATTTCAAAATTTTGTTTATTTTCGAAACTTATTTACTATAGCTTATTTATTATTGAAGTGCACTTACAGTCACGTCAGAATTTCTCAACTATAGAAAATATATCATGAGTACTTTAATATCAACGTTACTGTATTGTTGATTTGTTGCCAATACTGTCTTAGCAAAGAAAACAAATTTACATATATGACCATAATTATCGTGATGTATTAAGGGGTTGTATTATAGTGGCTAGAAATATTTTTGATATTATTTTTCATATCTACATAGAATTTATGCTTCTGGTTTTTTGACCATTATGCTTTTGACATCATATCTACACCAGTCAAATAGTTTTGAAAAATAAAAAAGCTTTCAAAATTAAATTAGATATACTTAAAAAAAGATGATTAAATTCTGTTGTTTTTATTTTACATACATATATTCAAATTAGTGTTGTATATTTGTTAGGTGATATTTTGCACCATAAAATATGATGTAAAATTATTTAAAAGTTATTATGACTATAGTTTTTACATGTCAACACCATGTGTTGTGATGTATTTAGCCCTACAAATAACCATTA